TATCGAAATCAGAACGATTTATCGTCATTGAGGAAGATGTTCTACTTTAAGCTTGTTAGATTGTCCGGAAATGATTATCTTTCTTTTTGCGATTGTCCACGTCGTTGTCGAGTTTAAGCGTTTTACCGATTTCGCACGATTTCTCTTAGGTTTCGTTCGTTATCGAAACCAAAGGGAACTGTTTGCTCTCTCTCTCTCTCTCTCTCTCTCTTTCACTTCTCCTTTTTTTCTTCCATGTTTGGTAATAGGATTCACCTATCGATCCTACACGAGCCTTCTCTGGCACATACCTACTTAACTTTTTTATTGACCGTTCGGAAGGGGAGAGACCGATTGACTTAGGATATTCACACGAGTTGGAAAAAAAAAAAAAAGAAAAAAAAGAAAAATAAGCGGCTTTTTACTCGGAGCAGTATGATACTTCCGAGTTATAACTTCCCGTTGTAACACGATATCAAAACCCGACGCGTGTTGCGCCCGAGCTCTTCACGTAAAAAAGTCGGACGGATTCTTCGTTGTTGATTTTATTTGTATTTTCTTTTTTTTTCTTTCTTCTTCTTCTTTTTTCTTTTCATATCGTACCTGCGTAAATTACATACACTTTTCTTTTGTACGTGAAATAAATAACACGATTTTCCTTTTAAATTAGTTTTATCTTTCTTTCGTATTTACCGATGTATCAATTTATTTTCAAAACTTTCTCTACGCTTACGTATAATATATACGAGATAAATATATATTATTCAATGAAAATGTCTATTAAAACAATGACAAATGTATAATAATAAGATTGAAATATGTAAAATCGGTGCAATGATCAAATTTGATAAGAAATATCAATCATGAATATACCATGACGTACATTTGTACGAACTGTTTTTTTTTTTTTATTATTATTTTTGGTATCTACATCTCACTCAATGAATGAAGTAGGTTTTAAGTGTTAGGAAACATTCCTATCTAGAAAACAAAAAAGAAGTAATAGCATTAAGAAAAAAGTATGTTGAAGAGAAGAAAAATAATGGTCAATACGGTGAAAATAACTATGCTCGTTAATAATATCGGGATGTTATTTGAACGGGTAGCGATGGTGGTATTATATGGCGTCAATAATTTTTACGCAACGAGACGCGCTCCCTATAGAAGGTCGATAATAGAGGCTTAACGACGTTACCGTGGCGATTTATCAAAAGCGAGTGACCACCGACACGAACCGAAGTCGTGCCGAGAAAACGAAGAAGAGGAACGAACAGGAGGAGCAGGAAAAGAAAGAAGAAATAGTAGAGGAAAGGTTGAAAGCAGAAAGAGAAAAAGTGGATGGACTCGTGCGGTTCTTCTTCTACATACATATATATATATATATATATATATATATATATATATATATATATATATATGTAAAAAAAAAAGAAAGCAAAAAATAAAAAAAAAAATATAAAGAAAGGAGAAGAAAACGAAGAAAAAAAATAGAAAAAAAGAAGAAGAAAGCCGCAGGGGAGCGTAAAAAGTTTCGAGTTGGAAAGTAATTTCCTCTTGGTTTCACGAGTTTCCCGCGAAGAAAAATATAGTTAGGAAAAAGCTCTCTTTCTCTCTTTTTCTCTCTCTCTCTCTCTCTCTCTCTCTCTTTTTCTCATTTTTTTTCTCTTTTTGTTTCCCTCTTTTTGTCTCTTTTGCAATAATCTTCCAGTCGAATATCTGCGTGCTATCGATGAACCAGAGAAACTTTAGAAGATCGATATCGAATGAAAGATTACCGTCGTATATTTTCGAACTTATACGCTAACTTTTCTAAAGAAAACATATAACGTAAAGAATACTTTGTTATGAGGTTATTGCAAGATTCAAGCGGGAAAAATCGAAGCGAAGAAATTCAAGTTTATCCAGAATGGTAAAACTTGTTCGTTTCTTGTAATAGGATCAATTCATTCAATCATCAATTTTGACTGCTTCGGAAAAACGCGAACGAAAGAATATTTTTCTGTGTGTGTATGTGTGTATATAATATCCGTGTATCTAAGTCCTGTGCGTGCGCGCGCACGAGCCCTCAGTAGAACTTTAAAGTTCAGCCCTTTCAGTAGGGCAAAGCCGATTCGTTCGGCCGCAACAAAGGTAGCAACCTTCATCCTCATTTTCCCGGTAGCTTTTCCTTCTCTCTGAAAGTGAATGCCTCGAGCGCTGTAACCAGCCGCCATTTTCTTTTCACCCCCTACCACCCTCCCTCCCCGTCCTATCCAACCCTCATTCGCCATGAGCCGGCGTTTCCTATGGTTACCATTTGCGGAGGGGATGCTTGACGTTCTCATCGGTCGCTTTCTTGTCGTTCAAGCCAACGTCTCTCCTCATTTTTCCATCTCTACACTTTTTTCTTTCTTTCTTTCTTTCTTTCTTTCTTTCTTTCCTTTTTTTCTCTTTTTTTCCTTTTCTTTCACTCTCTCTTTTTTTCTTCGACGACGATGACTACAACGACGTTTTCTTACTTTCACGAATTTCAATACTCACCCTTTCTCGTTCTTTAAACTTTTTCGTCTCGCATTAATACGTTTATATAATAATCATCATTATTTCTTATTCCTTAAACCCCATTTTTCTTGTTTACATTCACTACAGAAAGAGAGAGAGAGAGAGAGATATTATTCTTTAAATAATAATATTAATTCTCTAATTCCCCGTTTTTCACATTTATTTTCATTATTCTCAACGTCCCTGTCATAATAATATCGTTCTTATAAAACACAAGTGTACCTCGGAGGAATCGAGTTTACACGTTTATGTCACTTTTACTGTCGACGACAACATAGTAGCTAGGTTGTACGTAACGCCTCGGGTTTAGGCTTAAGCACATTAACTATCCCGCCCGAAGCAATAGCGTATTGATTAGAGGGTGGCCAAGCCTCTGAACACTTTTACATGATTAAACACTCTTACATGATTAAACCGCCCCAACAGCAACGAAGAGACCAACCTGGTCTCTGTCTGAGTGTGTGTGTGTGTGTGTGTGTTTGTGGCACTTAACTTATTAAAATATATACCAACGCCGCTATCGTAGCGTTTTTTATTAAGGAAACCTTATCAGTCCTGCGTTGAGAAACGTTCGTTGCTTATTTTTCATCAACAATGCTTCGTTCAGTCCTTTTAGATCATCTTCTTCAGTTTTTTTTTTAATCTCCTATTCAAACTTTCACATTATTACCTACTATTATTATTATTTAGAAAGTATACAAAAACAAAAAAAATAATTTCATACTTTTCTTTTTCAATCGTTTATATACCTATATATTTTTCTAAATTTTTCTCAAAAAAAAAAAAAAAAACGATTGAAGAGCGCACGATAAATGCACATTACATTTAAATTATTTAAATATTAATCGATAAAATCGAGAGTTCATTGATTCTCATAATGCAGTTATGCGAGTAAGCTTGTACCTCGGTTGAACTTACTTTCATAATTAAGGAGTCCTTTGACCTTGGTCTACTCACCGAAATCGAGGGAAACTAAGAGAGAAAGAGAGAGAGATAGAGAGAGAGAGAGAGAGAGAGAGAGAGAGAGGAAGGTGTAGAGATGACTGTCGTATAAAATGAAATTAGAAGAGGAAATTATTGGAGTTCTAAACGGTTGGTAAACTGTGACGGAGAAAGAGAAAGAGGAATGAGACAAAGGATAAAATTTGTAACACTAGCATCATGAGCACGTTTCGTAAGTACGTATTTACATGCATATGCCTCGATGTTCCCGTGATTCTACGTAGTACTCGTAAAGTACGCCACATGTGTTTACACGTGTATCGTTCATAAAGAAAGAGAAATAGAAAGAGAGAAAGAGAGAGAAAGAGAGAAGAAGAAGAAGAAGAAGGCGCAAGGGATTGCACGAAAGCTGTGCATTATGCACAAGGAGTAATCTGTTGCATGCGAGAGACTCCTACAATTGTAGTGCATTTATGTGTGGGCCCAACAAGACAAGACGCGATGCTCGTGAAAATGAATAGACAATAGGAAGTAAAACGTAAAGTTATGGGTGCTACGCGTTCTTCTATTTTCTTTTTCCAACGTTCCTTTTTTATTTGTTTCCCTTAAAAGGGAAAGAAAAAAGATCGATAAAAATAAATCTGTGAATATATTTAGACTTGAAAGAATAAAGCGAGAGGTGACATGAATTTTATACAATTATTCTATTTAATGTTGCAATTAGCGACACGGCAAAAAGGGACGTAACAAAACGTGCCGAGTTATTGTTTTGTATAAACAAACAAAAAAAAAAGAAATAATCTGATAAGCATATCCTGGAGCTTATGTAAAAAAGATATTATGCAATACTAGTAATAGCTTTCTTTTTCTTTTTTTTATAATTGATAAAATACACGCAAGAGTAGATTCTAAATGCGGTTGTGATATTAACTAACATAGGAATGAATTTTATCGATCGCAAAAATCGGGAGTCGTCTTATCGAAAACTTGCCAGTAGCCACCGTTCGTGTTAAACGCGGTAAAAAAATGTCAACTTGACCCGATAATGTAAGAGCGTTCGCGATAGCGGCGTCATCGTAGCTGGGACTTCTTTATCTCGAGTAGTATTTATTAATCTACATCGAACGCGTATTACGGTATGTTACGATTTTCGAATAATGACTGACGACGTATATTTTCTAACTGATCTGTGTTTCCTCTCGATTTTCAAGGATATCTTTAGATCGGTTACGTTATATCGTGTACACACACACACACAGACAGATTTATATATAAATACAATCTTAATCAAAAAAAGCGATAACAGAATAAGTACTCTTTAACCATTATTTTCTCTTATTGTAACATCCTTGATTTAACAATTTCTAATCGCAGTTAGATAAATCTTCGAAGGTCGGTAAAGAGTAGAAGAACATTGGTATTGAAACATATTTGTGGAATTTCAATAAGAGAAATTCATTATAATGAAGAAATGATTAATTAGATAGAAAAAAAAGGGAAGAATATTGTAATATTGATGTTTATCGTACATCCCCTACCTTCCAAGTTCTTATTCCTGGCTAGAAGAGCCAAAAGGACGTCAGGATTGGGCGGAGTGTCAGCTAGGTCTCCGGTATCTTGATGAGCCTGCGGCAAAGAAGATGGACCAAGAGGTGGCATGGTAGTACCCGGTGGTGGACGTGGCATCATAACTGAGGCCGAAGCCAAGGGTGGCAAGGCCAGTCCTCCGGGCGGATGATGGAGAGGATTGTGAGCTGGTAGTCCACTCGTTGGTAGCGTTGGTAGCGTCGGAACCGGTTCCACCGCTGCCGACATCGACAAATCGATGCCACCCAATAGCACCGGACGACAGCCACCAGAAGCAGCGCCCGTGTTCACTGCCGGGAGGATCTCGCCACCCCCCGGCAGTGGTGCGTATGGCAAGTACAGCTCCAGTCTAAGTATATCTTTGATCGAGTTATCAAATTTCAATTCTTTCCCCTTTTAGAAACTCGATAAACGTTTTGTGTTTTCTTATATCTCGAGAGAAATTTTTTTAATCTACTTTAAAAGTTTCTTTTTGTTTTTTTTCCCCCCTAACGAAAAATTAAACAATCTTCTATTTGATCTTTAAAATCACTCACTCGAACACAGTTTGATGAAAATATATCTAGTAAGAATCTTTTTTTTTTTTACCTAGTTAAATAATTTTCAACCGTGAGAGCTTTAGCTTGCGTCCGAGTTTGACACGTGACTGAATTTACGCACTGGCACTTCTCACTATTCATCACTGATTCAACTATGTAGTAATTCTTTTATTATTAACGCAAAAGAATATTATTAGGTTGATTTATTTATTTATAGAGTCTTGTGATTAAATCGGTGTCAACTTTTTTTTTTCTTTTTTTTTCTACTTTATATCATCCGCGTTCCGTCGGCAAGATTTCGTAGATCACTTAGCGACGGTAACCGTGTGTAATTGTTATCCGTCTTTGGTGATCGAAATGATCGTCAAGAGGCACTCGATCATACTATCGCTCAATAATTTTCGTCGAGTAGTAGTTTATCCGATTACGATTTGTATGTATACACATACCTATGTTCCTGTTGCTCGTTGTTGTCATAAAAGAAACTAATTGATCTATACGATTCTTCAATAAATTTTGAAGGTAACGCGAGGTGTACTCTTCTTTGCTAGTATCTTTTAAAGGTCGATACAATTAAATATCGTTATCAATGAACGAAACAATTTAGTTACGCGTTAGTATTTACACGTGCTTGAATGTTTATCGTGTTTTAAATTACAAATTGTCACCTTTCGGGAAATGCTTTAACGTATCGACGCGTTTCTTCAAAATGACAAAAATCTGTCCGTATTTCGAATTCCATATAAAACCTGATCTTGCAACAGTTTCTCTTCTTCTTAAATCTTCTTTTTTATTTCCTTACCGATCCGTTTCTTTTTTGTCCGCGTTGTACTTTTGTTAGTTTTGCGAAACGATCCTTTCCAAGATTCATCGTAACGTGACGAAAAGTTTCCTTTTCCGATCAGTGCACGAAGAGAATAAAATAAAACTCAGAATGAAATAGTAAAAAATCCAATGAGATCGAAATGCATAAGATGATAAAAAAGAGCATCGAGGTTAGTCTTCGTAGATTTAAATCCAACGGCACACTCGACGTTTCTCCGTTTTACTTCTCGTAGACTTGGATCGTGGCAACAATCCGACTCCTTATCTGTACTACTGTCTCGGTTTATCTCGACTTAACCTTGGACATGCCGTTTTCAGATCGAGATGATCTCTTTTTTTGATGTCGTTTCTTTTTTTTGTCCTTTACGATCAATCGCAAGCGAGGGAAAATTTTTCTTACCGCTTAATTCGACGACAATGTTGTTTTTCCTTTTTTTAATCTGTTTAACAATAAATTTCCATTTAATTTTGTTTCCTCCGTAAATATATATTATTCTCAAAAGAGATAATATTCCGAAAGAATTTATAGAATAAAAATGATGAGAAATCGATGAAATACAGTAGAAGGAAAGATCGGCTAGGTTGAGAAGGGTCCAACAATTCGATCGAAAGGATCTATCTTTCGTTCGTGGTTTACGAAACGATGCCTCCCCTTCGATCTTGGCGTCGAACGAGCGACGGCTCGGTTTTTACACGCGCGTCGATGTAAATGTGGCCCGGGCCCGATGCAAACGGTGCATGCCAGGTCGAGAAAAAAGCTCGAGAATCGGTCGGTAAAGCGATAGCTTTACGGGATATATCTAGTCGGCGTTCCCTTTGGAGAATCTTCTTTTGGCTTTAGGTCCGACGGTTAAACTCGAACGTGATCGAACTCGTTGACTCGACGTAAGAAACGAGAAGGAGAATTCCGCTGGTTCCTGGACCACCTCTCTTTATCTTACTCTTTCTCAATCTTTTTCTCTTTTTCTCTTTCTCTCTCATGGAGAAAGAGGCAAACCCGTTCGTGATGAGTTATCCATCGAAGACACTGGTTGATTCCATTGACTAGTCACCGTGCACGGTTTCTCGCGTACGATCGCTAAAATCATTCTCTTATACATCCTGCACAACTAAGAAGAAGAAGAAGAAGAAGAAGAAGAACTAAGAAGAAGAATAATAATAATAAAAAGAAGAGGAAGAAGATTCGATTCTTTCGTTCCACCTTGTTGGGTAGTCCAACTGGGAATTGAGATTACGCAGAGGACGATTGGAATTCTCGCGATGCGTCTCGTTTACGCCGATCGCAAATCACTCGTACAATTCACCGAGAGGACGGACGTCTTCATGAACGGACGACGTATCCACGATCCTCGGAGACATCCTGATAACATCCTTCTTCTCTGTTTATCTTGGAAATCTTGGAAAGCGAAAATCCAATTTGATTATGTATTATGTTTTTTCTTCTGATCACTTGACTTTTTGTTAAACGTCGATATCGAAGAAGATTTAGGATTAATTAGATTGAATTTAATTTAATCGTAAATAGGGAGGATTTTAATTAAGAACGAAAAGGTTAACCCGCGGACACGACACTATCAGACTATCCAGGATTCGCGATGTTCCTTGGCTACGAAGTCGACGCTGCCGAGAAAGCAAGAGGGAATCCAGAGGGATGCGTGAACAGAGAAGGTAATGTGGAGAGCCTATCCAAAGGTGTAGGTGTCTGTTTGTGTGTATGTGTGTGTGTGTGTGTGCGTGCGTGTGTGGGTGTATTGGAGAGGGGAGGTTTCCACCCTACTACCATACCAGTTATACCAACGCGACCGCCTCGAATCGTATCGCGCCAAGGCAAAAGAGAGATACGTATAGTATACTAGTACGTTTGGTGGGGGAGGTTCCTGTTACGCCTGCGCTTCAAAACCCTCGCCCTCCCATCCCCTTCTCTTTCTCCTCTCATCTTCTTCGTACTCGTCCATCTCCTTCTCTAGCGTGCTTACGAAAGATGAGAGCGTAGGAATATACCGTCCGAGAATAAGATTTTTCGATGATTTGCGGCCCGAGGAGATCGCTCGATGAATTTCTACTTTAACACCGTTAAACTTTAATAGTTCTAATCAAATTTACTATACTACTGTAATGTCTAATCTTTTTTTTCCCTGATTTTTTTTTTAATTATTATATTTCCTTTATAAGTTATCGACATATATCGTTCATATGTAGAATCAATTTTGATTGACTATCATCGTATCAATATTGAGAAAAATCAAAATACTTGAAAATATCGTTAAATATTTTCCATTATATTCGTTGGAATTGTATAATGATTTGAAACGAAACGCTCAAAGGAGAACGAAACAAGACCGATGATGTGATAGTAGTACGATAGAAACAGAGTCTATGGGATTTTAGGGATGCGGAAGATTGTGTAAAGGAATAAAAGAGGATACTATTGCACTAATTAAGACCGATAGTCAATAATGGCGGGCATGGATCGTTTTGGGAAGAGCACATCCCTCGACCACCAGTTCAGTACGGGGGTTGTTTAAGTCTTCTTTTCGCCTTCCTTTTCGACAAGGGTTGACTCTGTTCAGGGTTCGAAAGAAGGAGACATATTTTTATTGTACCTAGGTGAATCACTGCTACAGGCTTTTCTCTCTCTCTCTCTCTCTATCTCTCTCTCTCTCTCTCTCTCTCTCTCTCTCTCTCTCTCTCTCTCTTTCTCTTTTTCTTTTTCTTTTCCTTTCTCTCTGTTCTTTTTCTCCATTATTCGCTCACGTATATACATACATACATACATAGATACATGTAGCTATAGCTATGTGTATGTCTCTACGTTAATGCTTCCACATATATACATATATATATACATATATATATATGAATACTCCAAGCCGTATATACTAACACACATATATGTTCGCACGTTGAGTCGATCCATTGGATGCACTCAACGAAATTAAACCTACGTTCCTCGACATCCAACCATCGCCGTCATAGCCCAGCCTGATCGAGATATCGACAGATTCGGGTTTTAACGCCACGTTCTCGAGAAAGAGAGAAAAATTCGAAAAATTCAAAATTCTATTTGAACCTATCGTTGCACGAAAAAAAATGAAAAAAGAGAGAACTCTACGTAATAGTCCGTCAAATGTGCTCTCGACAAATCGACGAACTTTTTTTATCCTTCTTTTTACGCGTTACGCGAAAGAAAAAAAGAAGAAAAGAGAGAAAATCAGGAAAAGTACACTTCGTAAAACAAATCTCGGAAATGAAGGTGTCCATCGCTTAACGAGTTGTTGAATATTTGTGGGTTTCATCTGAATTTTACAATGTTCAAACGTGTTTTCTCTTCTCTAATCGGATACGTTCGCCATCCTGGATGGTGTGGGTGTACGTATTTATCCATACGTAGACGTTTATACTGCGCATGCGTCTCTTTTACTTGATATAGATATATATATATATATATATATATATATATATCTATACACATATTATACATATATATCATATATATACCTTGAATTTCGTTTTGAACGACTCGCGATGTAATCCCGAAGGAAAATCGTATATATTCGACTAAGGTAATAGCTAGTACGTCGTATTTCCTAATCTCTAAAGTTACGTTATTACGTTATCTTCCATGAATGTTATCAACGGAACGATAGAAAAAGAAAAATAAGAAGCATCTATATACCTTTATCAACTTTTCAACTTTTCAACTTCTTATAAACTTTCTCGTCGCGAATTATGAGAAAAAGTTGTATACGTTGGTTCCATTTGTTCGTTCATATGTATGGGTTTTTATAATTTTCCATTTTTCTCTATTTCCTTTCCCAGTTAGAAGAAAATGGTACACGATCGGGGCCTGACTACACTTGCCTGTGTGTTGGAAAAATGTGGAGCACACTGACTCCGAACCGTAGGAAGGGAAACGAGAGGATATCGAACCAACGATTCTAGAGGCGGAGTCGCCCCACCAAGTTACCATGGAAACGTGACACTCTCTTTCGAGCTTTTCGAGCTTTTCGAGCTTACCACCGGGAAGGTCTCGCCCGCTTTGCACTGTCTGCGCTCGACGGAACACCCGCGGCCCTCGCGAACGCCGCCAACTTTATTTTCCTTTAAAAGGCAATCCTTTCTTCTTCTTCTTCTTCTTTTTCTTTTTCTTCTTCTTTTTTCTATTATTATTATTATTATTATCTCTATCCCCTTTTCCCCATCTTCTTTCTCCGTTACTTTTTTTGCACAACCCCTCCCTCCCCCCTCGCCACCCGCCGGCCCACCTCCGCCGAATTTCTTTCTCTTTTCTTTTTCAAATTATTTCGATTTTCTGTCCCTCTTTCGACTTTCAATATGAATATATATATATCTTCCCTTTCAGCATGATTGCATGATTTCGAGCGAACACTTTCACTGCTTAACTATTCTCTTTTCACTCGAACGTACAATTAAAAATGTACGAAACATTTACGCGACTTCATCGATAGTGTATAGTGTAGCTCTTCTATTTAAATGAAAAATATTTAGTTTTTGTTTTTTTTTTTATAATTTCATTCGAAAAAATTGAATAAAATTGAGGAATATAGAGAGTTGAAAGGTATGAAATTCGGGTGGAAAAAGTTAAACGCGTTAAGTCTGTTTATTATGTATGTCAACGTCTGATTTCATAGAAAATATATTTTCGCAACGATGCGCTTCTTGCTCTGTCCTTTTCAATTCACTTCGTCAGCCGTCGTGGACTTCTCTATACGCTATCTTTCTTTGTCTCTTTCTTTCTACGAGAGGGATAGCACGATAGTCGTTCTCTTTTTCTTTCTCATTCTCATTCTCATATATATATATATATATATATATATATATATATGCGTATATATATACCACCCTGTATTTTCTTGAACCTCCGTAGCTTCCCTCCGAGTACCATAGTGTTTTCAATGTTAGCTCAAGACACGTGTATGTATAACACGTGTTGCGCGTGTATAGGTGAGTTAAACGCGTGCGAGAAGGAGAAACGATGACATATGCAGAGCTCGGCTATCTCTATATTTTACTCGAAGCTATTCGCGAGAATTTACGATGTTCAAAAGCCTCTCCTCTCGTTCATCCAACCTCGCCCCGACGTTTTCCTCTATCTCCATCTTTTTTTTCTTTCTCTCTCTCTCTCTCTCTCTCTCTCTCTCTATTTCTCTCTTTCTCTTTTTCTTATTTTCTATACATGTATGTTTTTCTTCTTTTTCTTCTTCTTCTATTGTTCTTCCTGTTCTTTATTTTTCTCTTTTTCATCCTCAGCCTTATCTTCTTCGTCTTGTACTCCTAGACTTTCTCTGAATTTTCTGCGAATTTCTCCATCTCCATCCTTTTTCTAACTACTTTTTCTTCATTTATGCTCGCACGTCTTTCTTTTTTCTTCTTCTCCTTTTTTTATTTGTTCTTTTTCCCTCTTTTGTTTCTTTCTTATCGTGGTTTTATTCTCAGTACTTCTTCTCTTCTTTCTTTTCTATCTTCTTCTTTTCTTTTCTTTTCTTTTCTTATTTCTTTCTTAACATTAAGTTTGATTCTTACTTATTACGTCTGGTTACTGAACTATGCAAAACTAAATAACTTGTGTTCCAACTGAAAAAGTTAATTGGATCTGAATATATACACTTTTATAGAATTGGATCTTCTATAAGAAATATAAATATTAATATTAACAAAAAAACTTGTTATTAGTTGTATTAATAATTAAAAATGAGGGACAATATTATTTTAATGAATTTTATCCTACAATATTCTTAATACGAAAATTATTTTCACTAATTGAAACTAAAAACACATATATAATAATATCATCGTATAACATATATCATTCGAATTACGTTATTGCTCGTGTCATTTGTGATTTTTGCGAATTCAAAGCCGAATTGTTGTCGGACAAAAGGTTGAAATCCGAACGCATGGTGGAGTCTCTTTGACGATAAAATTGAGATATACGATAAAGGTTCAGTTGAAACTGCAAACGGAATATAATATTACTTTATCTCAATAAAGGCGCTGATTATGATGTCTTTCTCTCTCTCTCTCTCTCTCTCTTTCTCTTTCTCTCAAACGAAGTCCATTTCCGAGAGCAAATAAGAACTTTAAAGGAAGAAAATCGATCGAGCGTCTCTTTGACGTTGCTAACAATGACTAATGAAAAATCTGTATTAAACTTACGAACTTTATTTATTATTTATTTAATTCTTTACGAGATGAATAAAGTTCTTTTTTCAATTATCCCCCTTTAAGTAAGTATTCCTTTACTCCGAATCTCCCAATCTCGTAATTTATGCTCTAAGTAATATTATTTTAAAATTCTTCATGAAAAATAAATGAAGAATGTAAAAGACTCGATTTATATAGAAGATTTCTTTCAAAAATATACTAAATGTTTATTAATTAATATTAATAATTAAATCACTTTATTAAAAAGAAGATTATGTACAGGAACAACATAAAAAATAAAAATCTACCTCTCAACCGGCGCCGTGGCTTAGTTGGTTAAAGCGCCTGTCTAGTAAACAGGAGATCGAGGGTTCGAATCCCTCCGGGGCCTTGTGTTCATTCGATCTACGTGTAACGTAGAATGAATATTTTTTTTCTTTTTTTTATCTTTTACGTAGAAAACACGAGTTTGTTTGTAACAACAGATATAAAAGATAAAATTGCATTTTATAATAATTCCATTTAGTAGTTGTGCATCGAGCTTACACTTGGATATAAATTACGATTACGATAAATAATTAATTGATTATTTTTCTAACAAGTATACATATATATATATAAACTTTAGCTATAAAACGAATGAAATCTGAGAACAACGGAGATATCATGGTTGCGGCTCGTCTGTAAAAGAACATTCTATAACTTAAGTAACACGAACAAACCAATTAGATGGTTAAGCGAGCAAGCCCCCATGAAATTCAATTGTCTTCGCCCCATGCGTCTCAGGGCTAACCACCCTTATATTTTCATCCCTCTCTAGGAAGACCGTGCACAGAGCTCCAACGGTCTTACAGACTTGCTATTAAGGTGTCAGTTGAATTAGATCTCTAGCCAGTTTGGGGTGACTTAACTGATAGCGAGATATGGTGGTGTGTTTTTCTTTTGGAAATTTGTATGATAGGGGAGACCAAAATTTCTCGTAAGTATATAGGTATTAAAAAAAGTATTATAAACAGTTACAAAATATTTTTAATGATATTCTATTATAATTCGATAGATATAGAGAAATAGTAAATTTTTATTGAGCAAGCAGACGGAGATCAATCGATGTAAGAATATAATATGATTGTTTACAAATGCTCGAACTTCCGTAAATATTTTATACTTTCGACCAATTGCGATAGGGTCAAATCGAAAATCCCATAGGAGAAGCGCGTAAACCCCTAAGGGAGGAATTATTTTTTGCTGGTTCAACGAGTATACTGGTTTTTCGATCCCAGGTGACCAGAATATGAAACGATGTTCATATTATCTTTCCTCCTTGTTAACAGAGTGTGTTTTAACAAATTTTATTCAGATCATTGTCTTTTCAGGTAGATATTTAACTCAAAGTCAGACAAATGAACGATTAGATGGCAGACAATTTTCAAACAGCTCCCTTTATGTTTCTCTTTCATTGTCGATAAAAGTACGTGAATCGGTATCATGAATAACGTGATTGCCAAGCTCCGATGAGCTACGTGGGCGATCCCTAAGCCTGGTGAATCGACAGGATGGTTTCAGGGATCAGAAGCGATCATTGCTAACGGTAATGGTGGATTATCAATGGCCCATCTGTCATTTGACTTATGCGATGATCTTGCTAGAGGGAAACTTTGCTTGGCAAATGAGTAAGTACTTGCACATAGAGCGAGATCATTCCATTTAATGAAACATATAAGAGCTTTCTTGCTATCAGCATCGAATTAATTGATTTTAACGTGATATACAATAATAAAATCTCATAGTAACTATCTTTCTCTCTATTTAATGCTTATTTAATAAATTTCTTATAACAATTTTTTAAACGTCTACATTTTTACTATGAAGAAATGCTTTTTTTCTTCAATTCATCTTAAATTCGAATAATAAGAGATAATAAGAATAAATACACGTATACTATATAGTTGAAGCACAAGCACACACACACACACACACAGACCGTATAGAAGAATACGATGGATATACATTTACTTGGCCATCAGCCAATTGGCGCGATCGTTCCGAGCACTGCGGGCATTCCATGGATTCGGTGAATATTTAGTACGGCTTACGGATTTAACGCTTCCTGTCAAAGTATGCGGTTCGCACTTGCTCCGTTTATCTTCTGCGGTTGGTGATCTTCCGGATTAACCAATCATCCCTATATCTCTATATGGTGAAACTTCATATCAATGCCTTACATCGATTTCGCTTAAAATATTTCTGACTGAATTTTCTTCTATTATCTTCTATATTTTCTTAGTTTTCTTTAAATATTTATTATACAAACGTTGATTTATTTCAGCATAATTAATAAATTTAATAAATAATCCAATATGTTTAAATGTGTCTATGCATGTGTTTATTTTAATTTATTCTTTAAATACTAAACTGAAGCAAGAGCTAATTATAATAAATCTTTTATGTATTTATGCATCTACATTATTGATTCGGAGTATCGAGATTGTTAAAAAATCAATAATAAAAATAATTTAATAAAGTTGTTTAAGTATATATATAGAGGAATGTAAAAATATATTTATATTATTAGACACACATGAAAAAAAAATTTCAGGGGGCACCCGGGTTTGAACCGGGGACCTCTCGATCTGCAGTCGAATGCTCTACCACTGAGCTATACCCCCGTTGATATGTGACTGTACAAAGTAAGTTTTATTCATCATTACTAAAATTTGATTTTCATTATATATGTTATAGGCAAATTAGGAAATTCGGCATTGTAGAAAATGTATTCATATTTTTTACATTTCCTAAGCATTCTGTAAAATTACAAATGAGAAACCAAAGTAAGAAAAACATCTCCGATTCGTTTCGAATGATTTTCAATAGAATGCAGATATGAAACATTTCGTTCTAAACTTGCTTATCTTCCGCTATGATAAGGAACAAAAGATACAGATTTTCCATGGTAATCTCTACGAATATCGGACTAAATGTAATAATCTACTACGATAAGTAACAGAGTGAGTCCTATATAATAACACACCGGCATAGAGTAAGTTTCAATTTAAAGAAGTGCGCATAGTATAACGGCGCGCACAGTCTCAAAAATCCGCGCACAAAAACTTGCGTACCAGTCAAGGTATTAAATTTGTAAAAAAAAAATTAGTTTTTTACTGTGCTCCATGATCGCTTTTGTGTGTGTACCTGTTACCCGATAATATATTCTTCTTAACATTGCCTAAATAGTATTTGATATTCTGTAGAATATCTAAGTATTATGTACGATGCCTAGGAAAAGTCCGTAACAATTCTTCTGTTTCATACATTGCTTAAAAACGCCAGGCATTTCCAACTTTGCCATAACATATATAATAATAGAATTGTTTTTAGACAACATACGTTCTTTTAGGAATATAATTTATGTGACATTTATATCATTTAAATTTCTGTAACTTGGTTTTGTAAATAAAGAATCTATGAATAAGATTAAAACTTTGATTTCAATATTATTATTTTTATTATTATTATTACCATTATTTGTATTATTATTATTTCTAAAATATTTTTTTTCTTTAATATATGTTATTAATTTTTATTAATTTATATTTCGTGCGATCATAATTATATTTTTACTTCATTAATTATAATGAGAGAATAAAAATAAAAGTATAGCACAAAAAAATAAACGTAATATTTTAGTTATTTGAATTTATTATTTTGTATACATTTGATAATATATGTATATGTTTGTAGTGTAACTAATTGTAGATGGCGCATCAATCGACTTTCAATATTCGGGATAGTACACAGTAGCGTACTTATGAAAATTAAAAAAGAAAAATCCTGTCCTTTTTTTAATAAATGTTATTTTATATTATTTATTATTTTACATTTTGGTTTATAAAAACAGTCAAGAAAAACACATTTTAATCAATATATTTCTTGGTTTAATCTCGCTATTTGTATTGTATAATTTATAAAAAAATTACTATATATATATGTATATATATATATATATATATATATGTATGTTCTCTTTTACGTAAATATTATTAATATTGTTTATTTTAACAATATATTTTTTTTGTCGTTTTTATTTTCTTTTATAAAAAATTGATCATTCTCTTTTGAAGTTGAATTAACAATAATAAAAGGATTATAAGACTAAAAAATTATTATTTAATCATATTATTATATATCATATCTAACAAATCGTAAGATGTTCATTTTGTATTTATTTATTTATTTGGTCCTTAGCTCACATACTAACTCCAGTGTGTATTCCAACATCTTCTGTGCAATATACATAAAATATAAGTTTCAGTTATATATTTCCATTATGTTATGAAAAACCACTATTCAATAAATATTATTTATATAATGTTATTTTCTTTAACGTTTATATTTATTTGTCTTTCTGAACTATTTGTATTCGTAACAATTGTAAAAAATGTTCATCTTATCCTACCCTAGATAAGTTATAATAATTTCAATAAGTATAATTAAAAGTACGCAAATTCAGGGCAAATTTATGATGCTCTAAACATTTTAAGTAACATTTAAGTAGCTTAATGCATAACGTAATACAGTATGTAAGATAATATAACATTATTTTTTTTCAGTTTAATTTCAAATGACATATTATATCTACTACTACTACTACTACTACTATTATTAATAATAATAATAATAATAATAATATTTAAAAACAAATTAATAATAATAATCAAACAAATACTCTTAGTGAACACGTTTCATTAATACCCGTCACCAACTCAGACATATCTTTGTAACTAAGTTTGTGCATTTTAATAAGTTTACGAGCATTATTCTGATATAAGTTCATTTTTTATCACCTTATTTTCCCTGTAGTCTTTCATCAATGATGTAAGTGTTATTTCTTCGTTCTGTAAACACTTTCTTATTTCGTGACCTATTGCTGCACCTAGTGGTGGTGGGACGGCATTACCAACTTGTCGGTGTTTATCTAATACATTGCCATAAAATCGGAAAGAATCAGGAAATCCTTGAGATCTTGCACATTCCCTTACACTGACAACTCGAGTTTGTTCTGGATGTAAAACGCGACCCTAAACATTTATTTATTAACAATAGTGTTACTATATGAATAAAAAAAACTTCCTAACTTAATATATTATTAGTATTTACCTGTTTTCCCATGGGTTCTGGATTCGTAATGGTCGTACCGAAAAATCCTTCCCATTCTAATCGTCCGTATAACCCTGCCCAATGATTATGACGATTTGCTGTATGTGGTAAACACCATGGTATTAAAGTGTTGTATTGCCTATCTATTGGATCACATGTTTTCCCAGAACAACAACTGCATACACCACGATATGCACCGGTTGAACTTTTCCCTGCCTTTTTATCATGATGAGTATATTCTCTGTAAGAAAATCAAATAAATAAATGTGTTAAAACATTATAGAAAATAATGTAGTAATTTTATATTATATAAGAGTTATATACATACAATTTTTTAGAGTATGTTCCATCGCTTAGACGAACTACTATATTAGGTAAATCGCGCCAATCGGAACCACTTGCAGTAGGGATATGTGCTATTCTAGCTTCTACGAGTGGTGCCATGTCTTTACATATATGATCTCTTAATATTGAGTCTCGAATGTTTCTCATCTGAAAATTGTGTCATTAGAAATATAATAACGAATTAAAAAACTGTTCTATTATATTATAAAAATTCCTAAGTTAACTTACTTTTCTTTGGAAATACGAATTAGGTTCATCCCCATAAGACATTTCCGCTTGATTCCACCCATTCCTGATAATAGGAAGATCAGACATAGCATCGCGAACACTAATTGTTCTGTAGGGTGCCGATTCTGTCCAATCACAATTGGAGGAATACTACAAAAAAGCAATAACGATTTAAAAATTTTATATACAATTTTTGTGATATATATTGTATGTTTTATAAAAGATTAAGCTTACTTTTTTATTATCAACAAGGACACTCAAACGACATGCACGTTTGCTGAATACATGTGTTGGTTCTGGATATTTTGGAAGCATTTCTCCTGGAGCAGCCGCCAAAATGATTAATCTATGAAATAAATATAGAATGTAGAAACATTTTAATGTTTTCATATAAAATCAATAAAGTAAAAATAGATATTTTATTAACCTTCTTCTTGTTTGTGGAATTCCATAATTTCCAGCTTGAAGGATACCAAATGTACATTGATAGCCCATCCGAACCAAACATCTTAAAGTAAGCTTTAGCACCATACATCTTTTAAATGAAACGAAATTTCTGACATTTTCCATTATGAAAAATTTTGGTCTGTAGTAATCGCACCAAGACAAGCATGATACTACTAAAGAATTTTTAAATAATGAGTATTGACGTGAATTAAAACGATTCATGCCGCTGAAACCCTGACAAGGTGGTCCACCACATAAAAGTTCCACTTCACCCTTTTGAGGTAGTCGTTGTCCATTATCATCGCAAATATCACCCTGAAATTATATAAATATGTATATATTTTTATTTATTATATTATTTTAATATTATTCCCACTATAATATTTTTTGATATTGTTTCAAGCGTACTAACAGTCATAACTTTTTGAAGCAATATATTACAGTCTTCCGAAAATACGATTGCATTAGGATTATTAAGTTTATATGCACATGCAGCAGCATCTTCTTTTTCCACAGCCCAATTATTTTCAGCTATACCAGCTTGATGTAAACCTTCCGACAAACCTAAATCATAGGTAATAGAAAATGAATGTACAATAACTCTAATTTTGTTACATGTAAAATGATTTTAATTGATCTTTACCACCACAGCCAGCGAAGAGATCTAAGGTCCTTAATGGTTTTTCTACTTTATTGTAGTCAATTAGTTTTTCAATAAACTTCTTTGTTTCACTATTCTCTGATTTTGTACCCTTTCCTTTGCCCTTTCCTTTACTGGATTTACCAATATTACAAGCCTGAGGTGATGGTTCATCAAATGTTTTTTCTGAAGCATTGTAAGCTTGTGTAAAATAAAAACGATATGGACCTCCCATAGACCATTCTTCTAATGGTTGATCTAAATTTTCTGAGTAAGCCAAATAGCATTTTCCAGTTACTTCAGAAAATTTCACGTTACATACTGAAATGAATTAAACTAAATATAAATACACATACATCAAATATTTTCTATGTCCAAAGTGATTTATAAATTTACCTTCGTCACTCCAATATAACATGTTTAAATCTACTTGATGCATTAAATTAAGGCCTTTGTGTGTATTCTCCGGTCTATACAATTTATTTACTTTTATCCAGATGTCTGAAGAAGCAACTAGTTTATTAGTGGTAGTAACGTATATTGTATTTATATATCCAATGTGGAAAGGTTCAGGTGTATCGTAATTCGAACCCTTTACGTATTCTGATGATTTTCGGTAATATTCTGGATACATATCTTCATCCACCTTTCCTTTCTTTTGTTTTGATATGGTATGACTCGTTGCTGTATATTTAAATCTTATAGCACCTGGTGATAAAAATACTGCACTTCCAACTCTAAATTCTTCACCTTTATATTTCACAACACCATAGATCACTTCTCTGTAATTTTTTTCTTCTATCAATTCAAAAACCTTAAAAGATATAAAATGGTTATTAATTGAATATAAAATATATTTTTATTTTCTATTTTATAATAATGTTTGTCGTACCTTTGGTGTATAATAATATTGCAAGTCGGTAAAACGTACACAAGCAGGACAAAATCGATGACTAATTTCTTTTCGCTGACAGATACTATCCAGAGCAGGATCTTCAAATCGGGCAGTTTCAGAAGTATACTTTTTTTGATAAAAAAATGTCTTTCCATCTTCATCTTTAATTTCATATTCCAATGCTTCATCCAAATTACCTAAATTAAATTTGACATTAATTTATGATAATACTTTGAATTGTTTCAATAATGAAAAATAAAATAATTACCTAATTGAGACCAATCTTTTGGTTTCTTTCTATATATAACAGTAGCTTTACATTTAATGGAAAAGAACGGTACATTATCACATTCATCTAATGCAAATAATTCTAAAGGATCAGATGTTTCACCAAGAACTGTGTCGCTACCTCTACGAAACCAGTTTGCATGACATAATTTAGCACCACTTTTATCTTCCCACATATATATAACTCTTGCAATTTGTAATGGAACAGCTGGATCACTTGATTCTATGAGTACACAATCATTGGCTCGAATCTCTTCATCTATTAATTTAACTGCTTCATAAAATGTTCTTCGACCATCCTCAACAACAGGTGGTCCTATCCATTCTATTTTTTTATAGACATGTTTGAATGCTTTAAGAATCATCTTTTGAGTAATCTTTGTATTTTCTATAAAAGTATCAGTTAACTCATCATCTTCAAGATCGGAGTCATCTGCTTCCTGTTAATCAATATATTTGAATAGTATTTTAACAAATGTTTAATAGTATTCTAATCATATTATTTTTTAGGTAATCATTTAAATGTAATTACTTGAATTGCCATATTTGGACATCTTCTCTTAAAACATGCTTGTTTACTTTTTCCAGTACCACCAAACTTAACCATATCTTTACATGCAATACAAGTTCCACAATCAGATTGTTGGCAAGCTTCGCATACTCCACATCTATGTCTTCTAGGACCCTGCATATAATATTTATATAGAAAAATACTTTTTCATTTATATAGAAAAATACTTTCATTTAAAAAAAGTTCTCTTCTATCATATACATACAGTCATATTTTTATCTTCATTCTTCGCCAGTTGATCGGTAAAGAATGTCTCAAACGTATTATTAACTAATTTAGTTGTTGTTGCTTTAGTCCAACAAGGCTTTTTTTGTTTTTGATGCTTTTGTTGGACTTTGCGCATTGCAGCTTTTTTACCAACAGTTATACCAGCCAAAGATACTAAAGCTCTCATACATGCATTTGTAATTAACAATGGATCTTCTGGTCTGGCAGAAGCATCAAAAGAAATAACTTGATCACAGATAAACTGTGCATGTCGAAGTAAAGCATCTTCCGTGAATTTAGATAAACCTTTTGGTGGAACTATGGTCTGATATAACAAAAATATTAAGTTAGTTTATATTCTAATTGTTATAGTAACATTAAAATATCTAAATCACAAAAAACACCTGAAGTTTGTTCAGTAAATCCTCGTAAGTTGGATTGATTTCATCTAATAAAAATTCTATAATAATTTTGCTCATATAGATCTTTTGTCTTATACTATCCATAAATGGAGCATATTCTTCTGAAGGTTCCATTAAAATGTATTCTGCGAATGACGTGCTAAACCCTATGAGAGCTAATTCTCCTCCATCGAATCCAGACACCCACCATTCATTTATTGGTCCCATATCTTTAGCAGGAACTCCTCCTTTGGGACATGCATTTTCCTCATAAATAGCTTTCATATATCCAGAGAAATATAATACTACATTTTTTTCAATTAAACCGGTATCAAAAGGACACAGGTGACCATTTTTGTCATACACACTGAGAAATTATAATATAAATATGTTACTTTAATATATATTTTATTTATTGCTTGATAGAATAAGGTATAATATTTTCTTACTATTACTCACCTAAAATGTGTTAATTTGTTTTGTGGCCTTTCATCGCTTTCATGTATCGTGGCTTCTTCTCCTGTAAATAAGGACAATCTTGAATCAGTCAAAGCGACAAATTCTTCCACAGCTCCATTAGGATGACCTTGATATAACTTTATTTCATCCACAATTAATTTTTGACGACAATATTCACACTTCTGTGGAGTATCCACAACTTTTTTAATTACTGGTTTTTCTTCACTTATATTATGGTTACTATCTTTGTGCTTAATTTTTTTACAAGCATTTTCAGATTCATCATCCACAGTTTCATTGGTTTCTATAATGTTTGTCTTAAAAATAGGTTCCGGCATAGTTTCATTTATACTTTCGATGGGTTTAAAAGAATTTTCTTCGGTCTTTATTATGGATTCTTCTGAACTAGTTTGCTTGGTAAAATTTTTCCAAAATGCTTTAAATTTTTCTGTTTTAATATTTTTTTTGATCCTACTTGGACTGAGCATAATTTTATCGCTAACATATTTTCCACTGCGTAGCTTTTTTCTATCGTTACCTACATCGCACAATGCATTGTTTATGGAGAGCGGTACATAACCATTTTCAATATTATTTTCATTGTTCTTCTCAATATGTGAACTCGTTTCGTTAATATTATTCTCTTTATAAATGCTCCTTTTTAATGAAAATCTATGTCCATCAAGATTCTCTACCTCCGGATGATTTTCCTTTTCGCTATTATCTCCGTTAGTAACCACAGCAGATAACATTTTGAATTAAAATCAGGATCAACTGTTTGTTTGTTATAATTTCGTTATTTTTCACGTAAAAACTTTATAATTAATTATAATTGCCTGATACTGCGACGACGATAGTGATAGCATTTTCTCACGCTTTTCCATAAAATGAAACATAACCTTCGTAACAAAGTAGCACCAATACTGCCGCCAAAAATCTTAAGTGTTGATTTACAATTCACTAGATGTGCCTCGCTTTATGGTGAATTGACCAACCATAACTTTTTTATTATTTTCCTTTTATCACTATACCTAATAAGTCTGGTATATTGTGAAATCCGTTGAATTGTAAACTAGGGAAAGTAGAGACGATCTAATTAAAAAAAATCACTATTTTTTTACCGATATTTTCATCGCATGAGAATCAAGCTGAAATCAAACGCCATTTTGAAATTATCGAAAACCTATGCAAAATAACAAACAATCTAGTTTTTTACTTTATTTTGTTTATAATAAATTTCAAATAAAGAAAATTATAATTTTATATTTATATATATCTATATAGATGTATAGATGTGTGTAATTATACGTATAAAGTTACAGTCACATAAGAAAATGCATGTTTATGATAATAATTTAATATTATAAGCACGAATTAACAATTTATGCAAAACAATAATTTGTTTTTTCAATTATCGTAATGTACAAATGCTATGAGACTTCATTTTAAAATTTGCAATCTTGAATAATTTTTATTTTTATTTAGATTTTAAGAATAAACTTGTCGATTTAAATATCAATAGGGAAATTCAAAATAAATATTGATAATATTTTTAATCCCTCCATTTTCATTCCAGTTACTTCTAATTGAAATTTTTAAATGGCGTACTCTATTTTATAATATATCGTTTTAAGGGTAATCAAAATCTGCGTCCAATTATGTTTAAAAATGATAAAATCAAACTAAAAATGACTTATTTATTACTTTTTAAGTGATATATCACAAGATAGATACTTTAAAAAATTTTGAAGTAATAGTAGCTGCGATGGAAAAGATGGAATTAAAAATTCTATAAAAATTTATTTTTAGCTTTCTGTTGAATAATTAAATTGACATGTTTTTCTTTTTATAATAATTTAAATTATTTAAAACTAAGAATTATTCAAGACGGTAAGTTTGAAACTAAAGACATGCTATTGCAATTACATGACAAATAACGTAAAAGGTTTTTTGTTTTGTTGTTTATCAATGATAATAGCTACCTAATACATTTATTAAAACCTGTTTACACGAAAGAAATTATTTTAGTGAACTAGTCAATATTTTAAGTATTGTTTAATCTAAATTTTTGTGAACGTAAATTAGCATGACTAAACATTATACTAAAGTATTTTAACGAAGTATTATAATTATAGATAAAAAAAAAAAATATAAGGAAAAGAGAGAATATATTTGCGAAAAAATAACTTGCTTTAGATTTGAGTTTATATAATAATTTTGTTTGCATAATATTTTGAAACAAAATATTTGTTATATTTCAACGATGGTTTTTGACATTTATTGTACGAATATTATATAATGTGAAATATTTACAAAATTACGATGAAAATAAAAAGTAATCCAAAGAGACGAAGATATATATTTTCGCATGATTAATCAGGACATTATTAGATTCGTTTATTTAGAAACATTTTTAATTAATTAATACTGATTGTGAGCTAGCTTCAAATGCATATGTAAATATTTCTTATTAATTTAATATGTAATATTTTCGTAATTACATAGATATAACAAATATTATTTATGTGTAATACGCGTTTACTCTAATAAATATTTTTTGAGTAATATTATTTCTATATCTAATACGGAAATATTTCTTCGAATATATTCTAATCTATTACTATAAATATTTATAAAGTTGAACTATTAAAATTATGACATGCACGTTAGAAACTTTAGATAATTTAAAGTTAGCAAAATTAGTCACGCAATTGTTATTATCTTAAAAATACTTTTAACTACTTACATAATTGATAATAAACATTTATATAAACATTTGTGTAAAAATAAGGGAAGGCTTTGTTGTTTAAACTATTACAGTGTTACGACGACATTAACTTTTTTCACTAAGGAACTTCTCTTTTTTTTTCTATAAACATGAAGTTGACATTGCAATTGTTGGTATCATCTCTTTTAATATCTCTGTCCTTACAAAAAGGATTGTACAAATGGAAATACATAGATTATGATTGGATTAATAGTAGTCAGGAAAAATATTATAAGGACAACGGATTATATGTAAAAAATGCTTCGACACCTATAGATACATTAATAGCAAGTAATCAATTAAAAATATTTGAAGAATAAAAGTAATAAATTTTGTATGAAATAATTAAATAACAATTAATTGTGTAGAAAACTATACGTTCATTACCATACCTCGTTCTCCTGGAGTACCTGCCAGTATCGGAACGCTTAATAAGAATAAAATATGCGGTGGAGGTCCTGTAGTCAGACCCTATCCAAATTGGGGTTGGGCAGATATAAGAAAAAATTGTAATGAAACTATCATCAGTGTTTACAGAGTGGAAGTGAGTAACAAACGATAAATCCGCGAATTCTTGTATTTTTTTTATATTTAAATTATTATTTTATTCTAGATTGATAAATGCGGTAGATTGTGGGTATTGGATAATGGAAAGAACGGAGATATCACTATATGTCCACAAAAACTTGTAGCATTTGATCTAACAACTAACAAGGCGGTATTAATAAAAGAAATTCCAAGCAAATATGGTGCTAACAGCAATGGTACAGGAGTTTTAGTAACTCCTCTGGTTATAGCTAGAGGAAAAGAATGTCAACACATAACGGTCAGATTATTATCATTATTTATTTAATTTGTTTTTCTCGGAGATCAATTAAAACGATTAGGATTTTTCAATTCAATTAAACAGGTATACATGGCGGATATAGAGGGTTATGGATTAGTGGTATGGAGAGGAGACGATAAATTTCAAAGATTTGAATCGCCAGCTTTCGCGAAAAATCCAAAAGCCTCGAATTTCGATATAGATAATGACAAGTTCACTTTAGATGATGGTGTCGTTGGTCTAGCAATGCATATAGGTGAATAAAAGTCTAAAGATGATCTGCTCCGTTTGTTAATTTACAGCTAATATTACATTTATTTTCTTTTTATTTCTTTTTAGGTGAACCCTCTTTAAAATGCAAAACATTATTTTGTAATTCATTATATTTTAGCTCATTAACTTCTTACAATATGTATCACGTATCAGTGGACTCATTGAAGAGTAGTAATAGTACAGACCTAAAAATCATAAAAGATAAGGGTAAAGTTAATTTTCGGAAAGTGTCATTAGTTATAGAAGGTCATTTCATGTATTTTTCTGGTATAGAAGATTATACTCTTAGAAAATGGGATGTAAGGACTGAATTCACCAACAAAAATGCGGTAAGAATTTCATTTTTCATCGGATACTATTTATTACTTCATTTAATTTGATTACGAATAATATTATTTATTCTCTTTTTCTTTTTTATTATAGAAAGTAATAAAGCAAGATTATAATTTATTAAATTTCGTTTCTGGTTTGAAAATTCAAAAAATTAAAGGTCATAATGATCACAATTGTACGCGAATCTATGGATTATCAAATAAATATGAGAGAACAGCAGTTAAAAAAAGAAATATAAATGAAATCAATTATAACATATTTTTGTATAATTTGTGCTAAAATGACGCATTTGATTAGGATTATCTTTGCTAAGTAAGTACATATTTAAATCTATATTTACGTTTATTGTCCTACTTCTGGGATAAAAAAAATCATACGTCTATTTTTTATTTTTAATACGAATCTTTTTTTTGTTTTTCTGTTCTGTTTCTTCTTCAGCTTATAATATTGCATGAAAGTCCATGGATACGGTTGTATACATTTTAAATATATTATATTATTTAAACAATACCTATATTTAACAAATAAAATATAGTTGAGTCTTTGGGAAAGCAATAATTAATATGAAAAATAAAATATATAATAATAGAAACTTATTTTTTTGTTT